CAATAGCTCAACTGTGCCTATTCTGAGAATGAAGGGATGCCACTTCTATCATGTAACAGTAGCTTTCACAGTGCTCACATAACTTAGATAGGGTTTTACGATTACCTGCTAAATGCATTTAACACCGACTCCAAGTACACCAGTTATGTTTGAGGTCGGGCAATCTTGTCAGAATTGAATTAGGGGAAAGCTGGTGAAATCTAACTGTGCAGTGGTAACAATTCATTTGTCCCCGTTAATTTCAAAAAACAACCAACACGAAATAAGTGCTGTTCAGATTGTAGGAGACGCAAATGTTTGCCTGTTGAAGGGGCTCTTTGCTGCCTAAGTAAGTGGGGTCTATTCCTTCTTCTATCACTTTGGCTGCCTCTCCAGAAAGATAAATAGAACTCTCAACAGTGATCAAGTAAATACATAAAAACATAAACACAATCTCACCTAGGGCTGACTAGTTATAATAATACAACTTTTACATAGCTCTTATTAACAGTGGCTCTAAAAATGTAAATACAACTTGCTGATTATAAATAACGTTGTTAGAAAGAATATATATTATTAAATTTTCTCTCTTTGCAGATGCTTTTGAAATTATTTTTTGTTGCCTTCGGTTTTGTGTTTTGGGAAAATAGTTGCATAAAAAACGCCCTGAAGGTTACTGATGACAACAAAAACACGAATATTTACAAAAAAATATTTTTTTTGCTGAGAGTTGGTGAGATTTTTTACATGGGCATAAATATTTAAAGTTTCATATAAAAGAAGGAAATAAAATTCTCTATTTTTTAAGTGATTCCACTGGTTTTATAGACAACTTACAACATCTCTACAGCACACAAACATACTTTACAAAAATAATAATAATAATAAAAAAATTATAGTCACAAAAGCAGAACAAATGATTCCTCTTGGCGTTGTAGGTAGGCAGATTCACTGTCATGGGTCAGTTTTGTAAACATGGTTCACAAGATACCAGAAAGATAGGATTTGGAGAATGGATTGACCTCCATAAGAAAAACAAAAACATCAAAAATAAAAACATGATCAATAATAATTATAGTTATAATAATAGTGTTTTTTTTCTTATTTGTGCCCAACAGTCTTTTTCAGGGCTTTTTTTGGAGCACATCAGTCTGTATATAGAAAAGTTCACCAAGTCCACTGTTGGGGCACCAAATGATGGGCTGTTGCGTATTGGGGATTACTGGCAGAGCTGTAGTGGGCATTATATTGCATATGCTGTAATGACTGGGCACTATATGCTGAGAAAGGGATGCCAGCGGGGAAAGTGGCTGCTAAGTCCTGAGCTTTGAGCGTGTGGCATGGTTTACCATCTCTTACTAAGACTGGAACTGCCACCCGTCTAGGGGAGGGGAGAGGAGTGACTTCCATACCTTTCTCTGCCCGAGCCCTCTTCATCTTGTACCTGTGGTTCTGGAACCAGATCTTCACCTGGGTGGGGGTGAGCCGGATCAGGCTGGCCAGGTGCTCTCTCTCTGGTGCTGAAAGGTACCTCTGCTGCCTAAACCTCCTCTCCAGTTCATAAGTCTGAGCCTTGGAGAACAGCACCCGTCTCTTCCTCTTCTTCCCAGAGTCTGCACTGCTTGAAGTCTCCTTGTCGTTGTCTGGGGATTCATCGGCAGAAGGTTCAGGGGATTTGGGCGAGGAGTCCTGCTGGGAGTTGCTAGATGCAAACCCGTGTACTGCAAGGAAAATGGAGGGTGCTTGTCATTAACAAGGAACACAGCACACTACACAGCAACCTGTTCCTCTATATATGCAGATGGATAAATAGACAGAAAAAGAAAGAAAGAAAGAAAGAAAGAAAGAAAGAAAGAAAGAAAGAAAGAAAGAAAGAAAGAAAGAAAGAAAGAAAGAAAGAAAGAAAGGCATAGATGGATAGATAGATAGATAGATAGATAGATAGATAGATAGATAGATAGATAGATAGATAACAGAAACAAAGATACACAGATAAATAGATAAATAGATAATGAAAGAAAATAAAGAGATAGACATATAACAGAAGAAAGAAATAGAGATATACAGACCAACAGAGAGATATA